GGCGGGGCCCGGCTGCCGCGTGGGAGGAGGAAGAGCAGGAGGAAAAGGAGGAGGAAGAAGATGCCCTCGGCCTCTCCCTGCAGCCCGGAAACGCCGTGTATCCCGCCAGGTGAGCGCTGGGGAACCCTTGGTCCCCAAACCGTGCTGCTCCAGGTGCGGAGCAGGGAAGGGACGCCACCTTTCTGCGGGAGTTCTCGCTCCTCTATTCCAGGTCTCCTGATGGTGTTTGCATCCCTACCCCGGTACTTGCGTGTCTTCACCAGAGCTGATGGAGGGCAACGGCTGCATTCGGAGAGCGCTGTGCTTTGTTGCAGGGCCGTGTTGTGGATTTGACCACCTGGTCAGAGGGTTTGTGCTGGGATCTGTGCGGGATGCTGCGGACGCGCTGCAAAGATTGATCTACTTAGCCGAGCACGGGGTTTTTCCAGGCTCCGGTTGTCTTGAGTGTGTGCAGAACAAGAGGCTTACACGTTCTGAGTGTGTTTTCCTCTTCTGCAAAGTGGAAAAAGTAATGCCTGCCTTGCCACTTCCTGAAGTGAGAAGATCGTGTGCGTGAAAGATGCAGAGAAGGTGCGCTTCATTTGTGCGGTAGCCAGATTACCATGACAGGCCGCGCATACCCTGCAGCTGGTCTCAAGCCTTAGGTGCCTGTCGAGTTGCCATGTCGTTGTCTGCTTTAGCAGAACAGAGTTTGGGAGTGATTGGGGAAGGTGGGTTTTGGCAGAAACGACTGTTGTCTTTCTTATTAAAGGACATCCTTGAGAAACTCATGAATTGCGATGTAATCCCGCCTTCATTGTGTTGGGCAGGACTCCCACCGCCATACGTTCAGTTAAGTAACTGAAAACATTTGCCTGTTAAAGCCTCAGTCCACTCGGACAATAAAAAACAGTTGTGTTTTGCTCTGTGGATTTCTTCTGCCAATTCCTTCCCTCCACTGGTTGGTTTATTCGGTCCTAGGGAGAATAATGGGTGTGGTATCCTGGCCTCAGCATCATTTGATCTTTACTTTATAGCAGGTATGAGTTCAGAATAAAAACCTCTGCTACATGGAAGGTATGATGCATGCTCTTTTTTTTTTTTTTTAATCAGTCTGATTTTTATTAAGTCTTAAGCAGAATTTGTATTACTAGGCTATATGTTTGAAGGGTCTAATTTTCTGTTTTAAAAGTGTAGTGTGACTTAAAAACGAGGAAAAGTTTATGTAATAAGGTTCAAAGCAGGATTTACTATAATTACAATGACATGAAATTACAAAGAAAAAATTGGGAAAGAATTACACTAAAATATAGTTGTCAGATTTGTGAGCTTTTAAAAAAAATTAAAAATTTCTTTGACTCTTTTATACACATTGTGCTCAACCAGGTTATTTTGCAGATCTGGAGAAAATAATTTGCCCAGGTTATTTAATGACCACATTTCTCTTTTCCTTGACTGCTCTTTTTCCTTTTTTCTTTTCTTTTTTTTTTTTTTTTTTTTTGTTCTCCTTGTGTTTTTAGTACTGGGAAACCCTTGTCACCAGAAGTCCCAAGTACAGGTAGTTTCTACTGTCACTGTCTATCGTGTATGAAAGGGTACCCTAGTGTGTGACTCAAATTTAAAAGAAAGTAACTGATGGCCATAATGAATCTAGCTTGATTATTACTTTATGGTAGGCTGATACCTGATTAATAGGTCCCCAATACCACTGGCCCTGATAGCCAGCCAGAATTATTTGGTGCTTAATGCATAGTGGTGGGTCAGGTGGTGTGGTGGTTAAGGCACTGGGTCCTACATGGCTGGTAGCACAGTTTGAGTCCAGAACCCAGCGGCAGAAAAACATGCTGAGTGTGTACGTGTGTACCCACAATCCAGATGGGGAGAGAATGAATGGAAGAGACAGAATTGCTACTTGGCCAACCCCTCTGGCATGTGACCTCTCACTTTTCTTCTCTGTCTCTCTGTAGCAAGCCCATGTGCCTTAGGGCAAAAAAATTCTTAAAAAAAAATGTAAAAGAATGCATAATGGCAATTTTTCATCATGATAGGTTAAACCAGTCCCAGTTGTTCAACAGGGCTGTCGACTCACTTCATGTGTCCTGGCAATAACTCTCATGTTAATATACACTATGCTTCAAAGGTTATTTCTATTTCGCTCTTTCAGAATGAAAAAAGCCTTTTGGAGTACACAACTCACATCTGTTACATTGAAAACGGAACTGTTTTTTTTTCCATTCAGAGAAGACACGGGAAGGCCCTGTTAGGCCTAGTGAAAAGCGAAAGAGGGGTGTGTTTAGGCATCATCTTTACCAGGCCTAGTGTATTAGCATACATGGTAAAAGTGAAAGAGGGGTGTGTTTAGGCATCATCTTTACCCGATCCACCTCGATCTTCTTGCTGGGAGGGCCTGGAGGTTTTATCTGCATTCTGGCTGTGGTGTTCCATCCTCCTGGCCCTGGGCCACCTCTTCACACGGTGGTGCTGTGAACTCTGATACCACCGTCTGCCCACCCAGCCCCTTACCCTGTTGGCTGCAGAGCGCGAAGCTCCTGGCCAGTGGGCAGGTCTGGGGTGTGGGCCTCTGTCCCCTTTGGCGCTCAACCAGAAAGCTTGCCAAGTGTCATTTGTTTGTTCACAAATCTGGTTATTCCAGTTGGGCTTATTATCGTAATTACAGTTAAATATTATGTAAACCTTGAAAGGAGTATGAAAAGAGCTGGTTTCTATGAAAACTTTTCAGACAAATGTGTTGGGGAGATCTGATGAAGTCAATCACCTCCCCCCCCCCAAAAAAAAAAAAAAGAATGTGTGTTTAGATGTGGGCTAGGCATTGAA